AGTCAGTGGTTACCGGGTGTTCCCTGGTCAGAACTGTGTGTTGAAGACCTGCTGCAATTCCCTGGTGGATTGCCAGCTCCATCCACGCCTTCATTCTCTCTGGAACTTCCTTTGGAAGAATGTCATCCTGTCAAAGACCGGCAGCCATCGGAGTGAATGTAGCTTCAGGAGCCCTTCGCATTGTCTGTGTTCCAGGTAATTGGCCTGTTGAGTCTGGGAAATCAAGCTGTGTCTGGATGAGAGGGAGAAATCTAGGGGAGGAAAAGGGTGGGAAGAGTTAGATGGTACTGGACTTGGGGGCAGAAGGTCCTGTGAGGCCCTGTGTGCCTCCCTTGCACACCTATCTATTTGTTTTTTAATGCTTTATGGCGCCTGTTGGCATCCTTTACTGAAGCTTTAGAATGACCTTTTGTCTGCTTGGATTTGTGCTGAGATTTAGCTTTGACGCTTGATGTTGAGGGTTGAGAGCTACTACTGCCTGCCATTTTGAATTGAAAGAGATGCAGTTTGCTTGTTATTCACAGCGATACTGTTGAGGCAGTTGGCACGCCCAGGGGCCTGATCCAAGAAGGGACCGGTTGCCCTGATAATATCTTATCTCTGGGTTTTTCTTTTTTCAATTAAGATATATGTATATATAATATGAGTCGTATCACAGTAATAATATCTTTCCTTATTAAGATATTAATACTGAATATTATATTATTATTGTTGTTGTTTTGTTGTTGTTGTTATTATTGGAGTGAATGAAAGTCACCAATATCTATCTATCTATCTATCTATCTATCTATCTATCTATCTATCTATCTATCTATTGATAGATATCTATAGATAGATAGGTAGATGGGTAGATAGATATAGATAGGTAGGTAGGTAGGTAGATAGATAGGTATTTAATTTAATAAAGAAACAGCTTGATAGAGTGAATATCCAAACAGCCAAATTAAGAATGCTTGAAAGGCCAAGATAATAAAGAGAGGCCTTCAATAGCTTCCCTGCACAGGCGGACACAGGCCTGGATGCTCGCTGTTGTGCCTCTGGGTAAGGCTGTGAGGGTTAAGCCAACAATAATACATGGATGGCCCTGAATCTAATTAGAAAATGAGGTGTAATAATTCCTTAGGTTATCAGAAGGAAAAACCTCTGATCGGGAAGGAAAACTACCTCACACAGCTCGATTACAAATAGAGCAGACACGCAGTTTGTTTCTTTTTAAAGTAAAGGCAAAAACAATGGCCGTTTTTTTGGGCACATGCGTGCTTCCCAGCAACAAACTCCTGCCATGTGGGGAAATGCCTCTGACGGCTTCTCCTTGTGGCTAAAAGGAACGGCGGGGGAAGGGGTGGAAATAATTCTTACTGCTTTCCACACCAAGACGGCGTTCTGAGGGGAAAACTCAAATGATACGACTTGGATGAGAGCAAAAATGCCCACGCCACTATTGCCGATATAGAGAAAGGCAATGCGGACTCACAATGGCAGGGTAGAACAAGCAGATGTGGGGGAGGCTCGGAGCAATGCTGAAGCTGCCTGCCACTTCGGGCGTGAAACAGTACTACCCAAAAATGCAAATGATCTCCAATGACCAGATGGAGAGAGCTAATGTCAGGTGATCGTAAAGTGATTTGGAGGCTAAAAGCCTGAAAAAAATGAACTGGACTATATCCAAACCTGCTGAGTAATACTCCTGTTTCGGCCAAGGAAGAACAAAAAGCACTGCTTATCCACAATGAGGCTGAGCCAAAACTGGGGAATGCTGGGGAGGAGTCCCGTGGAGGAGGAGGAGCATTCCACAAATTAATCCCAGCCTAGACATGCAGAGACTGAAGCACCTCTCGCTACTGGATGCTCTGAACAGCTCATGGGAGAATTTCACCCAAAGAATTTTTAACACATTTTCAAGCATTTCATCTCAGTTTGATGGTTTGAAAACTCATAAAAATAAAGCATGAGGTTCTCAGAATTTTTTGGGGGGTGGGGGTGGGGGCGGTACTTGGAACAGAATCTCTACCCAGATAACAATTCACAAGTGGAACAACTTGCCTTCAGAAATTGTAGGTGCTGCATCCCTGGAGGTCCAAGACAGGAGCCACCTGTCTGAAATGGTATAGGGTCTCCTGCTTCAGCAGTGGGTTGTGATAGATCATCTCCAAGGTCCCTTCCAGCTCTATTCTGATTGATTGATAACCAATTGTAGTTATCACAAATACAGTGAGCCCAGAGTTCTACTACAGCAGTGGCTTTATTGGTAAATCCTTATCTTTGCATGTCTTTGTAGAAGTACTATGATAAACATTTCAGGAAATTTAGCCCTTCCGGTTTGAGCTTCTTCAGTGGCAGACTGAAACCTCATCTCTCCGAGGCTTTGATCCGTGCTCGCTGCTGGAGCGCCCCGAGCCGGCTGGTTTCGTGGCTAAGCCACCCCGTAGAGGTAGTGAAGAGGGGGGAGACTGCCTGCAGGGTTGAGGAGAGCCGCATCTCTCCTCCCCAGCTGGCCATTACTCCCTTTCCCAAAGGCGGTTGTAGCGGTGGTCAGAAATGGCCACCACAAAGAAGAACTCAACCGGAAAAGAATGTACAGGAGGAAGATAAGAGAAAGTTTTGGTTGACCGGGTCAAACAGCAAAAGTAACAAATAAGGTACCCTGGAATTTAAACTTAACAACATTGTTCCCAAAGAAGATTTTGAAGCTGCGAAGGAGAGAGAGAAGGAAAAGGATTAGGTTTTTTTTTTCTTCCCTTCCTTATACTGACAGCTAAGAGACTTAAGCAAGAAACTGAAAAAAAACCCACTTTGACATTCATAGGCATCTAAGCTGAAAAAAAAAGTCAAGGGGATAATAAAGATTTCTGGACATTTAAAAGTTTTTAAAAGCTGGAAAGGAGAAAAAAAAAGAATAGAAGGCAGGATCTGGAAAAATGGAGGAGACTGCCTGGAATTAAGGAATGGAACTGTAATTAAAAGGAACTTACAGTGAAATTTTAACAAGATTCCTCAAAGATACATTTTAATGGAAACTTGGTAACAAAATAATAGAACCACAGGAAGAGAGAGTGGAAAAAAGAAGCAAGTAGAAACAGCCTTGGATTATTTGGATTACTTGGTGATTTTTGGTTTTTGCATCTAGATGACTAAAATTAATTGGGTGGTTGTTTAAAAGCTTTTAAAAATGGTATCACTCTTAGAAGAACTGAAAACGGAACTTAAAAAATGGAAAAAAGACGCACAAGAAGGGAGAAGTTCTTTTGGCTTTGTTTTTCAATTCTTAGAAATGGAGATCTGGAACTATGAGAAGCAACAAGAAACGCTTGCAGAAGAAGAAGATTGGGACAAAGAAGAAGCCATCTTTAATGATCAAATAATTTTAAGTGTTGGGAAAAAAGAAAAGGGGGGAAAGAGAGTGAAAGAAAGTTTAAGACTAGAAAAAACAACCAAAAAGAAGAAGAACAATTTGAAAGATAAGTATAATATTAGAAAGCAACAGAAGAGGGGATTACAGATGAGAGAGTTAGAAGTAGAGAGATGAGGGGGTAAAAAGGGGAGGGAAAAGAAGAGGGGGAAGAAGGCAAAGAAAAGAAGTTGTAAAAGACAGAAACAAGAAATGGAGAAACAGGGAAAAGATATAAGGATTGTGACCATAAGTTTGTTTAGAGATAATGGGTGAAAATTTAATTGTAAAAGGGATTCTGCAAAGGTATATAAGATAGCTTTGTTATATTACAAATAGAAATAACTTTAGAAAATATGATGATGGATAAAATATTTATTGTAATGCAGTGGGATGTTTGTTAATAAATAAATGAATTAAAATGATTGAGAAAATTAAAAGGGAACATTTTTAATTATTAATAATGATTTATAAAAATATAAGTGAGAAATATGGGAAAAAAAGAATTAACTATGGAAAGTTTATAAGTGTTCCCAAGGAAGTATGATATTTAACTGAAAAGAAATGTTAAAGATGTTAAGATTTTAATGCATATTAATGATAGAATTGAATTGGAATGGAATGTGTTTTATTTACATATATATATAATTTTTTCTTTTTAAGAATATAGTGTCTATTTTAAGAATGTACCAAGCAGAATTTGATTGGAAGTTATTTATTATATTGAATGCTATAATCTTAAAGCTATACATTGAAGCTTAAATAAGAGCTTGAATGGATAAAATTAAAGGATATAAAGGTGTCATACTCTAATTGGTAACTACAGGGAAAAATTTTCTTAATAAGAAAAGATAATGTGAAATTGTAACAGGACAGACAAAAGTATAAATATAATGATTTGAACTGAGATAAGTAAAACAAAGTTGAGAAAATTAAAAGAGGCGAAAAACTATGTAGAAAATATAAAATGGTAATAAGATATGGAATAGAATATAAAAATGAGCATGAAATTGAGTTTTGTGTCTGTATGAAGAAGTAATACCCTGGGACCATGCTATTTTCAAAAAAGATGTTTTATTTGTATTTTGTTTTTGTGAAAACCCAAATAAAATTTTCCCCAAAAAATTTTTTTTCAGGAAATTTGAATGTATTTTGATACACTGTGTGAAACACTTTTTAAAAATAATGGTTTTGATTGCTTACAAGGCTGCAATAGGCAGATAGTATTGTCTACACCCAAAAATAAATTGCCTTTTACTCCAGAAAAACTATAGTTTTACTCATATACAAAATTAGTTTAATAACATACATACATACATACATACATACATTTGTAAGATATTAAACTAATATATGAATAAAATTACACACACACACACACACACACACATATGACACAGTTTAAGATTTACTAAATTGCACAGAAGTCCTAGATTTAATATAGTTTGTGAATTAGTCAGATTTCCATGAATAATTTGTGTTTATTATACAGTAGACATCTTTTGCCTTTTCAGATACTAATCTTCCTTCTTTCCTTCCTTCCTATTTCTATTTTTTGTTTGACAAAACTAAATCCTATCCTTGACTAAAATGAAAAATGTAAGTTGAATAGATGCCCAAATTGCTGTTCAGAAGCTCTTGACCTGATGTTCATGCACTTCTGTAAAAGCCAACATCACATAAATATAGCTATCTAAAAGAAACTGAAGACTGGTAACAACATTAAGTGGAAGTCTTTTCCAACATTTTCTGAAGACCAATAAGAAGACAAGAGCAGTCTTTGAAGCAAAAGGCATTTTTCGTGGCATCCAGAGTAATTTAGGGATCATTGAGAGTACATGTTTTCCTGGCAAAGACATGGGAGATGTAGTATAGCTCATTTACAGATTTAAAAAACCTCTTTTAAAAGTAATTAAATTTGTGAATTACAAAACTAAAAAGAAATCCAGATTGGCTTTATTGGGAAGCACTTCAAATCATAGATCCTAACGGATGTTCTTTTTTGTTTTTTTGTTCATTAACAGTGAACCTTGTCTTTTTTTTCCTTCCTTAGGTGGGTAATATTAAAGTCTAGACCAAAACTTGCAGAGACGCCACAGTGGAAGTCACTATGCGATGGGTACAACCAGGATTGTTTCTTTTCTGTCCTAGCCACTCAGCATTCTTCCTGAAAGCATCTCGCTTTCTGAGGTTTAGAGATTTTTTTTTCCTCTTACAAGTGGATGAGAATCAGTGAATGTAAAAAATAAAAATGGAAACTGCCTGAAAATCTTCCTAGATCAAACCAGGAATCTTTATGTTCCATTACATACAACTCATCTATATGCTCTGAAAAGATGTAATATGGAGTGAGGTGATTGGGGCCAGTCTGTTTTACTTATTACCTGACCTCCTCGCAGGAGAGCATGAGTTCTAGTCCTGCCTTAGGCATAAAGCCACCTGAGTGGCCTTGGGCCATTCACTCTCCCTCAGCCCTAAGAAAGAGGCAGTGGCAAATTACCTGCAAAACTCTTGCCAAGAAAATTGCAGCACTTGCTCAGTCAGTTGCCAAGAGTCAAGATTGGATCAAAGGCATATACTTGTGTGTGTGTGTGTGTGTGTGTGTGTGAGAGAGAGAGAGAGAGAGAATATACGTGTATACAAACAATTTTAAAAATAGTTCAATAATCCAATGTTACGAAAGCCAAAATGATATAGAAAGATTGGGTTTGAACCAGGACGACTGAGATTTTGATCACCCATGAAGCTCACTGTGGTTCAGTGACTATCCCTAAACTTCATTTATTTTACAGGTTTGGATAGAAATAAAATGTACTAAAGAGTTTATATATGTCTTCTTAAACTTTTTGGAGGAAAGTGGAATAAAGATATAATCATAAGTCAAATCAAGAGCCTATGTCTCAAGAACCCTATAATTAAAACCTCAGGAAGAAGCAGACAGGGGATAAAGGAAGAACCACAAACTGCAGTTGTCTACAACAGAATGTTGTGAGCTGAGAGTGTGATGACCCATAGCCACTCAAAATAACCCAAAACCCAAAACATACATTAAAGTCCAGTAATGCCTTCAGCTTAACTTCACTGTTTTATTAGGCACAGTTTAAAGTCACAAAAGTAAATGATGAGGCAAAAAGAAAACCAAAACAAACTGCATTGACGAGAATTCTGAAGCAAGCCAAGATAATTTATCATACATTCCAGGAAGGTAAGGGAGGAGAGTCCATGGGAAGAATTCCAGCAAAGATGAAACTCTTTCAAAGAAAACATTAAACTAAACTTTGACTCCAGCAATTTTGACTATGTAGTTACAAACTTATATACATAGCTCCCAGCTGCAAGTTACGAGGAAGATCATGGTAATCTGAGTAGACCTCGCTTTCCCTGATCCTCTCCTCCCTGCGTGACCTAGGATGGATAGGGGATGGGCCTGGCTCCTCCTCTGATTGCTCAGCTGGCTTCTGCCCTTCCCCAGCCTCCTCCACCACCTCTGGAGCCACACTCCCACTCCCTGTTGGCTGTTCCTCCTCTTCCTCAGAGTCAGTCTCCACCAGGAGCATGACACTATCCCCCACACATGGCCCCCTTGCTCGGGACCAGGCAGATGAGAACATTGAGGAAACCGAGCATGAAACCAAACGAGGAGCATGAACATCAGTGGCATCGACCCAGGTGAAGTCCTCTGGTCCATAACCTTTCCATGCCACCAAATATTGAAATTGGCCTCACAACTGGCGTGAATCTCAGATGCTATCCACTTCGTACTCCTCCTCTCCCAGAGGGGCTACTGGGGCTGGCTGTGATGGAGCTGGTCTATGCGGACTGTCGGCCAAGGCAGGGACTAACAGGGAACAATGAAAAACAGGATGGATATGCATCGTCTGTGGCAGGGAGAGATGATAAGCCACAGGATTGATCACCACCTCGACCGAAAAAGGTCCTAAGTAACGGTGATCGAGCTTTTTCGATTGTCGCGTCATTGTTAAGTATCAAGTAGAGAGCCAAACCCGATCACCTATCGCTAAAGGCAGAACATTGCGATGATGTCAGTCTGCAAACCATTTATAGTCCTCCTTGGCTTTCTCTAGTTGATAGCGGACTCTGTGGTGCACAGCTTTTAACTCCTGCAAGAACGTATCCACTGCTGGAACTGGGGAATCAGATGGGGCTAAAGAAAAAAGTCATGGATAAAACCCATAGTTAGCAAAGAAAGTGGGCACATGGGTGGATGCATATTGAGCATTGTTATAAGCGAATTCTGCCACCGGCAGCACTTCCACCCAATTGTCTTGTTGAGTATTGCTGAATCAGCAGAGGTACTGCTCCAAAATATCATTCACTCTCTCTGTCCCCCCATCAGTTTTGGGGTGATGAGCAGATGACAGACGCGCCTGAACCTGCAGTTTCGCAAGTAGGGTCTGCCAGAAGCATGCCGTAAATTGTACCCCCCGATCTGATACCATGCGTTCTGGTAACCCATGCAACCGGAAAACATGGGAGATAAACAATTGAGCCGTTATCTTGGCTGATGGAAGATCTGCACACGGAATAAAGTGGGCCATTTTAGTCAACATATCCACCACCACCAAAATGGTTGTGGCACCATTCGATGGTGGTAATTCAACGATGAAATCCAATGAAACTGCCCCCTGTGGTCATTCTGGCGTGGGCAAGGGCTGCAAGAGACCCGGGGGTGCACCAGGAGCATACTTGGCTTGGCGACAGATCCCACAGAACACCACATATCCCGACATATCATGTTTAAGTCTTGGCCACCAAAATGTCCTAGAGATGAGGTGCAGTGTTTTGAACACCCCAAAGTGTCCCGCTACTGGACTATCATGACATTGACGTAGGATAAGGCCATGAAGAGGACCTCCAGGCACATAAATGCGATCATGGAACTGCAACAGGTCCCCAATATACTCCCAAAGAGTCTCTTCATTCTCATCCAATTCTCGACGTCGAGCTGCCACAAATGGGTCCTGCCGCTACACCTCCTGAATCCTCACTTGGAGGTCCACAGGTTCCTCAGTGGTCGCAAACCTCTCCAACAGAATCACCGTCCAGGGCAAGATTTTATCCTCCCTTTGGGTATACTTGGGTTTCCAAGATAGGGTGTCAGCGCGTTGATTCCCTCCACTTGGAACATAGGTCACCCAGAAATCAAATCAAGCAAAGAATAAGGACCATTTCACCTGATGCTGGTTCAATGTCCGAGCTGTACATAGGTGTGCCAAATTGTGATGATCCGTTTGAACCTCGATTTGGTGATGAGCCCCCTCCAGGTGGTGCCGCCATGTCTCAAAAGTGATCTTAACCACCAATAGCTCCTTGTCCCAAATTGTATAGTTGCACTCTGGAGCTGACAACTTCTGGGAATAATAAGCGCACGGGAACAAGGTGCCTGTGGGAGCATAGGCCTGGAGGAGCACCGCACCAACAGCCACATCGGAAGCATCTGTTTCCACCACAAATGGCTGGCCTGGATCAGGGTGTTTGAGGATAGGCTCGGAAGCAAAAGCGACTTTCAACTCCTCGAAAGCTGCCTGCTCCTCAGCACCCCAATGGAACTTCTCCCCCTTCTTGAGCAAATTAGAAAGGGGAGCAGTCAAAGCAGCAAAGCAGGGAATAAATCTGTGGTAGTAGTTCGCAAACCCCAACAGTCATTGCACATCCTTAACCCACTGTGGAGGTTCCCGTGCCTGCAACAATTATATCTTTTCCGGGTCCATTTCCACCCCCGCAAGTGAAATACGATGTCCCAAGAAGTCAATCGTGGTTTGTGCAAACTGACACTTCTCATATTTAGCAAACAGGTGGTTATCACTTAAACGTTGCAACACCAGCTGCACATGTTGCCAGTGTTCCTGCAGGGAGTCTGAGTAAATTAAAATATCATCTAAATAAATGACTATGAATTGATCCAACAAATCACGGAAAACATCGTTCATAAAATGCATGAACACAGCTGGGGCATTGGTTAATCCAAAAGGCATCACAATATACTCAAAATGCCCGTACCTCATCTGGAAAGCTGTTTTCCACTCGTCCCCTGCATGAATGCGAACCAGATTGTAGGCCCCACACAAGTCCAACTTTGTAAAGGTCTTAGCTTGACGAAGCCGCTCAATCAGTTCAGGGATGAGGGGAAGCGGGTACCGATTCCTCATTGTGATTGCATTCAACTTGCGGTAATCACAACACAAATGTAGCTCCCCCGATTTTTTTTTACAAAAAGCACCAGTGCAGCCAATGGGGAGGTAGAAGGCTGGATAAACCCTTTCCGTAGGTTCTTGTCAATAAAATCCCGCAACATGGCCAACTCTGATTCTGGCAGGGAATATATCCAACCCACCGGCAATTTTACATTGGACAACAAGTCAATTGGACAGTCATATGCCTGATGCAGAGGCAACTGATCTGCCTTCTTCTCCCCAAACATATCAGCAAAATCCACCAACTCCGCAGGTAGTTCCAGGTCCACAGGCGTAGCCACACTCCCTGCACAGGAGCTCAAGCAATGGTTGACACACTTCCTATCAAGGAACTGCACAGCTCCAGACGACCAGACAATCTGTGGATCATGGGCCTGTAACCACTCCAAACCCAGCACCACCGGAAAATGAGGCACTGCGGTAATGTAGAACACGGTTTCCTCCACATGCTGCCCAATACGCATGCAAAGGGGTTTGGTTGCAGCAACCACAGGTCCTGAACGAAGGGGCCGACCATCAATCGTCTCTACCATTACTGGCAGGGACACCTGTTGCTGAGGAATGAACCACTGCTTGACAAAATGAGCATCCATGAAATTGGCTGTGGCCCCTGAGTCGACCAAGGCTTGGATCTCCACTGCTCCCACACCAGGCATGAACACACTTGCTGTCAGCACAAGATGCTTCACCAATAACAATTGTGGTAGAGATGTCAAAGGTGGCAAGGATGGCAAGGTTGGTGAAGATGGTGGGCTTAAGGACTTTACACCCTGACCTACAGACCCCCATAGGTCGACAGATGCTCATTTCCTGCCACCACAGGCGTAGCTGCTGTGGATGTCTTAATAGGACACTTGGCCGCAAAATGGCCTTGATTGCCACAATAGAGGCATAGACCATCATGATGACGTCTATCCTTTTCTACTTGAGTCAGGCGAGGGCGGCCAGCCCCCAACTGCATGGGTTCCTCCAAAG